ATTTTTTATCCACTATAAACTACCTCAGGTTAGGTTAGGTCACACCCTTGCCGGAAATCGAACTCGGGACCTTTGGCTTTACGCACCACTAAGCATAAAGCCAAAGGTTCCGGATTCGGGTTCGATTCCCGGCGAGGGTGTAACAACAGCAACAAAATTTTCCCTCATTAACCTGAGGTAGTTTATAGTAGATAAAAAATTGAAAAAGAATTTTCACATTAATATAACAAAAAACAATTTTTAAATTATTTTTAAGTAGATACCTGGATAAGATCGAATTATATCCACTCAACACGAAAGCCTTAACCCATTGATTTGTATTTGCTTTATACCCATACCCTCCAATTCCTTGCAATCTAACCCGTCCAGGATAACTCCTTAAATTTACTCCAAAAACTAACAGGATGATTTAAAAAAATATCAGCGTAGCGATTTCGTTACGTTCTTAATCAACAAAAATAATTCTTACTTGTTATTGACGGTCCCAATTCATTCAAAACTTCCTTACTAGAGCACTGGCAATATAATCGAAAATCATCAGTTGAGAGGAAATCATATGATATCACCTTTGGACCTACCAACTTTTTATACAGTACACTTATCCACCAATCCTAATACAGAATTTAAAATTTAACATCGCTTCCCAAACGTGAATTTAAAATAATAATATTATGAATAATTATATGTTAACATTCAAAGTATCAAAAGTGAATTTCTATTCATAACATAAAACAAACCGTATATGTAATCTTATTAACCGTTCCTTTCGCATTTCTTTAGTTTAGTAAGCTTGTACCTGTATGTATAGACAAGGGCGGCCTTAACCACTGCAAGGCTCCGGGCGGGTAAATCTTTTCGAGGCGCTTGTCCTTGCGGAATTAGTTTTAATGATGATACTTGACGAGAAATACAAAGCGCGGTTGCCCAGCTCGCCACCCTCAAAGGCCGCCCCTGTGTTTAGATATACAGGAACAAAAGATTGGTATACTTAGATTTGCAGATGATATAGCAGTATTAGCATCTAGCAAAGAGGAGTTAGAGATAGCTTTAAATAAAATGGAAGCAGTTTTGACAAAACGGTCCTGTATGAAAATAAATAAAAATTAAACAAAGATACTGGTATGCAAAGGAAGAAAAAGTAGGGAAAGAGCGAATACAAAGATAGGAGACGAAAAATTAGGAGAAGTGACTTATTTTAGGTATCTAGGAAGGCAGATAAGTTAGAACGGAAGGAGTGATAGGGATATAAAGCAGAGGATACTGCATGGTCGAGTCGCCTTAAGGTGTATGTTTGGAACGCAGCACTGTACGGGTGCGAAACATGGACTGTGGGCGCTGCGGAAAAGAAAATGTGGTGTTGCAGACGAATGAAGAGGATAGCATGAATAGAAAGGTTAGAAATAAAGAGGTATTAGAAAAAAATAGGAGAACAGAGGACTCTATGGAAATCAGTAAAAAATAGATGAGATAGGTTGGTAGGACACTTCAGGCATGAAAGGATAGTCATAGATATTAGAAGCAGAAACAGAAGTTAAAAAAAGATTAGATTACTGTTACTGATTCACAAATAGTTAAGGATGTGGGATGTTCTAATTTTGTTATCTTCACCTCCTACAACTGATGCAGCGTTTGTTCATCTAAAAGGAGTATATCTATAAATCCAGATATGACTAGGAAACCTAGTTATTGAGAATTGGGGCTGAAAATAACATGCTTAGCCTAACAAGAATCAGTTAATTATCAGCTCCGAATACATTATTGCAAATGTTATTTTGTAGCTGTAAAAAGGGGCGCGGAGCTGCATGTGAGTGTCGCAAGAGTGGCTTATACTGCAGTGTAGCATGTGTACAGTGTTGCGAAAATAGTTGTTTTATTACTCCACCGACCACTCAAATTAGTGACTCATTAAAAACTCGGATAAGTTTAATTGAAGTGCGAACGCACAAAATGCGAAACAACCAAGTGAAATAATAATCGGGATTCCCCGCGCGACAAGCATAAACATGTTCGATTGCGCGGGTAGAGACCGGCCGCACGTGAAGCTTCGACCTTAAAAGTATTGGAACCGGAAATGTAATTTAAGTCGGAAGTTCCGACATTGAAATCGAAAGCGAATCTCCGTAACATCCCTAGCATTTTGTCGGAAATCAAGCAGAGGCCGCCCGTGTGGCAGGCAAACATTAATTTCTTATAACGCGCTGATGAGATCCAAAAAGATCGAAATCGCAATCCGCGTCTGGCAGCTTCGACAGAATACAAACCACTTCGAATTATTTTATTCGATTAAGCTAACGTGCCTATCACGTTGAGGTTAGCTACGCCGGGATTGCATTTCAGCAAGTAGATATCCATATATTTAAATGGACCTTGTTGGANGAATTTTATGAACTTTTTACCTTAGCTTTAGTACCAGGTTTTACAATTGTAGCTGATTTCGTACCCCTAACGACCTTATTTTCTTTCTCCTCAGACGCCTTCGCTTTTGGCAGAGGCTTAATGGGAAGATTTGGCCTTGCTTTATCTAAGGCGGCCACAATAGTCGTCTTCGAACCAGGCTTAAAACATGGATCAAACCCAAAACTAACAAAACAGCTAAAAAATTTATAGATTTACCTTGAGTTTATCACTTTGCCTCAACATCGAATCGTATCCTAAATGTATCATGAAGCCAAAGACTGCTTCGTGGGCGTTTTTTCTCACATCCGCATTCCGATCTTCCAAATTTGAATAAAGGTGTGGAATGCAAGCATGAAGTTCTTCCTTAGGTAAGGATTTCACTTGACAAAGAAAAGTTTTTTATATTTATCTATTTGTATCTTTTTTCACAAAGTACTCACTTTTTGGCAATTTCTCAGCTAGCCAATTCCACAATTCAGTTCGTAGAGTTGGAGAACCAATTTTTAACGCGTCTGCAATCATTTCAGCTTCAAAAAATTCTTTGTAGGCACACAGTTCTCCATAGGTGTTCATACAATTAATACAGCCAGATCTAATCCAAGCTTTACTGTCACCAAGGCCTAAAAAATTAAAACATACTAATAAAATCATCACCCTGTGGAGAAGGCACAAGGTTAATCTATTTTTTAATTTTTAATTTATATAACTTACTTTACGCGGGCATCATCAATAGAATTAACTATTATTGAGAAAAGCTTACTGATGCCAAGTTATAACGTCAATAGCATTTCTAATATTATCTAAAAAATTTTCCAGGTAAAGTACACTTTCGTCATTACGAGGCTGCGGTCGTGTAGTATCTGGTCCTACTAGTAGTGAATTTTTGTACATGTCATACTTGTTCAAAATTCGTCTTAATTCATTGAAATCTGCTGCTAATTGAGAAGCATTTACTTCGTAATTAAACACATGTCGAAACGAATTTGGTTCTGTGTTGATTAAAAAATAAAAGCGTATGATATACAATTAACATATGAAACAAAAAATAACTTCGTTACCATTTCCTAGTTGCCAAAGGAGTGTTAAATTGTGATGATCTGAAAACATTATTAATTGTTCTGCATTTCGGGAATCCCATGTACCATTGTCGTATCGTATCAGGGCATTTAAATCAAATAAAATTGTGAAACCTGATTTCTCAGCATAATTATTTAACTTTAACCATTCTTCTCCTACATAAGCACCAAAATAAAGTAAAGAAGTGTTTTTGATGATATTAATATGGTTAGATAAATAATTTATGAAGGCTTAAAATGATTAGAACCACAGCTTAATAGAATGCTGAGATACAAAAGCCTTTTTGAATTTTTTTTTAATTCACAATTTCAATTTCAATTAGTACGTTTTATGTAACTATTTTACAAAGTATCAGATAAATATTTTATTAAGAAATTTTTGGTAATGTGAGCATTAATTAATAATTAATTATTTGTATCGTTTAAAATCTGTTTAAAACTACGTTTTTTAAAATGTCCTGTCACTTCTGAACACCTTGTATATATTACATTTCTTCTTTTTATTAATATTATTGTGTAATTGTCAAGTCAAAATTCGCTAGCTGTCATTAAATTACAGGTTATACCTATAGCTATAAAAAATAAAACAAAAATAGAAAAAGTTTAAAAAATGAACTTGGTGCTAAATTAAATACTTGGTAAAAAATTAAATTAACATGGTTAATTTTTGAGACGTGTATGATCAGCAAAAGTTTGAAACAATACCAGACATAGTAAAATTGGGTCGGTTTCCTGTGCAAGATTTACTTTCATGTGAACAACTTCCACCATCCATATCAGTAATAGAAATACTTTTAAATACTTGGGAATTATCAGAAACAAATCTTAATCTGTCAGCAAGTGTACCACCAACTCTTAATAATCCTGGACTCAAGTGTTTTGTAACAGCAATTAGTTGGGGATTACTAAAATTTTAATAGAAGAGAAAATTTCCTCCAGGTTAGACCTTTTTTTTATACTTCATGTCAAAACCAAAGAAACCATCAGCAATGACTGAAGAATCTAGTCCAAGACTTAAATAGTTCTCATTAGTTTTTCGAATTACACCCTTTCCGACATTAATAAATAATACATTAATTGTATTATCTGATGGTTTAAATAATATGGCTGATATGCATATCATAAATAAAAATATGCAAATTATTGTGACAAAATTGGCACAAAATTTTTGGAATCTTTTATCTAAAAATATTTTTTTTAATTTAGATACATCTCAATCATAAAAAAAGTATATACAGACATATATTGTTCATGTGGTGGTTGATTATATTCCTAGAAATTCCAAAGTTTAGGACCATTTTACCACCAATTTAGCCTCTG